CCCTGGTTAGAACACAAAGCGTTAAGAAGGGGAGCAAACACTATTAAGAACAGTATGCCATATACGCCAGGTCCCTTGAAACATATGCTGTGCAGATGTTTCTTCCCTGCAGCCACTGTGTCAAGCAGCAAGGATGGACCGGCTTCTGGCACCCAGGATAAGGGGCTCCTGGACCAGGCCGACCCATGCACGCTACCCATCTGTAGAGCCTGCTTCCAACGACCACATGGCATGGAAGAACACAGCTCCTAGACTTGGAGGTTCACACCGGCCCCGAGTTCCCTGCTGCCAGGGGCCTGGTGGCCTCATTGGAGCTCCAGGCCTCTGGGACATGCTCCCCCAGGTCCCAGCATCTCATTCCCATCTGCCTCTCCCACCCTTGTCCCCGAGCTCCAGGGGGCCAGGTCCCAGCAGATCCAGGGCAGGGGTGCAGGCAGGGGTGGGTGTCAGGCAGTCCAAGGCCGCGGCTGCCGCAGGCGGTGAGAATCGAGTTTCCTGAGCAAGGGGCGAGATGGGTTACCCTGTGGGGGTGACCTGTGGTGGCCAGGGGAAGGATGGACACGGAGTCCCCGGCACCACTGGCACGTTCAGATGATTGAACTGAGGAGCCGGCAGGCGGGCCTGCCACCTTCCACTCTGAGGCAGGCTGGCAAGCCGGCGGCTCCCAGCTCTTGCATATGCTGCACACCCTGGGTCAGGCAGTCGGTGGGGGTTCAGCCACCCACCCCTCCTGAAGGGCTGATGGACTCGCCCGAGTGCTGGGAGCAGGGAGGGTGGAAGGCCCTCCCAGGTGACCCCTCCCAGGGCAGCCCACCCCCCTGAATGGGAGACAGGAGACTATGGTTCTAAAGGGCAGCCTGTCCTCAGAGGGTGGTCCAAGCTCCCTGGTGGCCGAGGGCTGCTCCCGCCCTTGCCTGGTCCCAGCACTGTGTCCCCCCCACCCCTGCCCCCGGGCCAGTCTCTGCCTCAGGAGTCTGCCCCTGTCAGCCCCACAGGCCACACTGCACGTGTGCAGGGCTCTCTGACCTGGGTGTCTGTCTAATGACTATAAGCAGCCGTGACAATTGTGTTCCTGTAGCTCCTCTAATGACATATTCTTTTCTTTAATATTTTAATTTTTATTTTTCAGTTCCAGTTTGCATTCCGTGTGATTTTGTGTTGCTTTCAGGTGTACAGCATAGAGGGGGACAGTCACATACTTTACAAAGTGGTCCCCCAGCATGTCAGTGCCCCCTGGCACCACACCCAGTGACTGCAATATTATTGGCGAGGTGCCCTGTTAGTCACAGGGATGTAAAGTACAAATTACTTTCCAAAAGCCCTTGGTTAGTATGGTCTTTCAGCAAAGGCTTAAGGAGTGGTGATAGTGGTGGCTGGGAGCTGGGGACACGGAGGACAGAGACCCCCTTTCTGCCCCCTCCTCCCCTCCTCCCCCACCCATCTCCTGCCTGCCCTGCCCTCCCCCCCAAGGTCTGCTTTGCTCTCCCACCCTTGCCAGGGACCTTTCCTG